TTTTATAACTTCTTTGAAGTTATTTCATCTGTTGCCAATTGATCTAAAATGTCTAAAAGTTTCTAATAGAGCTGTAAAAAAAAGTATTTCTAAGTGGATTATGGGTAACTGCAATACTGTGATAAAAGCACGAGCGAAACACACTATAGTGTGATTATTTTTGTTTCTTTTTTTTGTGTTTTGAATTGTTTATTTTTTTCTTGTTATATTTTTATTCTTTTTTAGTTTTTAAGTATACCAGTCCCCTATGTACAGGCAATTTATTTGCCTTTATAGGTTTTTATTTGCGATCGTAGCAGTTGTAATATACTGTAATACTGTTTGTAAATAATTTTTTTTGCTGATTAATAAATAAAATAAAATAAATATAAGTCAATCTTATATAGGGAGCTTTCCAGCAAGCGACACAACTTGACACAAGTATCGTTTTATCTTTGTTGCTCATTACCAAAAAAGAAAGATAGAACGATGCTTGTGTCGACTTGTGTCGCTTGCTGAAAAGCTCCCAAATTTACAGTATCTTTATAATATACTAGCTGGTTACCCGGGCTTCGCCCGGGAGTCATTTTTCTTCAAACGACTTCATTTGTATTTCAATTAATATCCTTAATCGAAAAAAATTCCTTTATCAGGCAATATCTTATCAAGCAAAAATCAATTAAATAATTAATGTTTTTACTAAAATGATTTCTACTAATTGTGGATATTTATTATTTCCATTTTGTTCTATTGGTTAGTTAATTCTTCTACGGAACTTTTGCAAATTTTAAAATCCTGTTTTTTTTTTTCGTTGAAGAAGGAAAATGCTTACGCATACCCTAAGGCCGGTCCCCAGGGTTATGCCGGACTTATTCACCGCTAAAAACCTCCCCCGGCCCTCAACCCCTAAACTATCAATCCCATAATAAAAGTTTAAAATTCAAACATCTGGAACGTGTTGTTCAAACGGAAAAGTTAAGTTACCGTTTTTAAATCAGCCACCCAACACACTTTTTATGTTTATGTCAGAAATTACGTCAGAATCAAAACATTTCCTACAAAACATTCGGTCAATTATTTACCGAAAAATTGAAAAAATTTTGGATATCGGTTCCCAAAAAGATCGGTAACGAAAAACTATACACTCTATAACACTCCCCAAAAAATTCTACCCCTATTTTATACATTCATCGGTCAATTATTTCCCGAAAAATTGGAAAAATTTCGGAGACAGATTCCCCAAAAAATCGGTAACAAAAAACTATACACTCTATAACACTCACCAGAAAATTCTACCCCTATTTTATATACTTTTGGTAAAAATTCGGTCGAATAGTTTAAGAATGTATAAAGAACATACATATACATACATACATACATACATACATACATACATACATACAGACATTCTATTTTATATATATAGATTCGAATGGCGCTACTACACATGTTTTTTTAATATAAGTAGAATAATCTATCGAATATTCTATATAATATTGTATGCATATTTATAGAATATTCTATAAGTATTTTAATAAAATGTTTTATAAATGTGTGTGCATAGCATATTTCACAGAATGTTTTATATAGATCATTCTATGTATTTACATAGCACATAAAATAAATAGGGATAAACAGTACAATTGTTGGCCACTCTCTGATTGACTACATCTTAAAAAATTATAGATTATAAAAGAAATACTATTAAAATGTTTTTAATTATAAATACAAAATATTTAATACACTTTTAAAAGAAACACTTTTAAACATTTTAATAGTATTTCTTTATAATCTTTAATTTTTTAAGATAT